GCGGAGGACTTGATGCACAGGTGGTACTGGTCGTCGGAGTCGTCGGGTTCCCCCAGGTCCCACGGGAGTTCCTCGTGGTCGATGTCGCTCCCGGACGCCCACCGCCACACGCTGCTCTCCCGGATGCCGCCCACCCATAGGTATTGGGTGGCTGCGATAAAAAGGAAAGGAATACAGCCACGATGAAAAATGAAATTAAAGCGTAACGTTTAGACTCTTCGCCAGTTCTTCATCAACCGAAAGATTAACCGAAATGGAGACTTTTAGATACTTTTGACAAGATTATATAGTGGTAGAGACACAGAGCAAGAGCGAAGGCAGGTCTCAGGAGGGTCAAGGTCAGAGAGTGTGGGGAAAACTCAAGTTAAAATTAGGTAATTTTCTAATTATCATAGCTTCTAGCATTTTTCCTTCATGAGAATTCGCTGATTTATGGATTAATATAGCGTCTTTCTAGTTAATGACTGAAACACGCATTTGATTCTCTGGCGAAATTTACATCGCGTTTATGCTGATTTTTTTTCTCTCGAAAGTTCTACCGTCAATGTCAATTCCAGCTCTTTTAAACAGATGGCGTTTTTCATCGAGGGACGGGCGTATGGAAAAAAAATAATAGATTACTATTACTGTCCTGTTGCGTATGTATCCATTTCGGTTAATTATTCCTCTGATGAAGAACCAGTGAAAAGTTCGAAACGTTACTTGTTAATTTAATTTCTTATTATTGTTTTTCATTTCATAATATTTATTTACCTAATTATTCATATACACATACAAGGGCACATATCTACATTATATATCACAAATGTACTGCCTTTACCAGTGTGTTGTTTTGCGACGTAGTGCTTGAATTCGTCGATATGGCTCGGCTGCGCGAGATCGCCCTCGCCGCCCACGGAGATGGCCAGCTCCTCGCACGAACGCCGCGCCTCCTCCCACGTCAGCTTCTCCTCCAGGAGATGCAGGCAGTCTCGGCCGACTTTCCTGTAGTTTGGGGGACAAAGTTCTGTGGAAGAGAAGGGTTCAGTAGAAATTAACGTAAATTCGATATCAGAAATATACGGCTGTCAGTAGTGGCTGAGTTTACGTACGCATATACCAATGTATATGAATGTGTTTGCTAGAGATGTGTGCTAAGAAAGTTGATTATGCTAGCTGTAAATAAACCATCAAATAAAACACTGATAAGAATGTAATATTTGACAAATGGTGAATTTTGAATCAGTATTACTAAAGGGGAAATTGAGATGGCTCATTAAGCGTGAAACATCATTAAGGCATCAAGTTTATCAAGTATAAATTATACTTAAGAAATAATTTGTACTATGTATCAAATCAGTGAAGTATGTAGAGTGCTCCTCACTTTGAATGTATTCTTGTGTAGTGCAATGTGTATTATTAACATTTTGGGGACACGAATTTAACATAAGCTTATCTTTTTTTGAATATGTATGTAGCTACATGCACTCGAGAATTGTATAGCTACTGTATAACAATAAAGAATCAGTACTCATATTCTTTAAGTACAAGGTTTAAAATATTCACCACATTCTACAATTTTATGAATACAGGCTGGTAATGCGTACTATGGACTTCTTGCCAATGACGCTAACACTGTGCGGTTCAGCTTACGGCACATACACATACAGTATATATCCATGCATATATATGAAGCAACTAATATTATGGCCAAATGTTACACCTATAGCATATACATAGAAATACACATAGACCTAGACATCGCCACTAACAAGACAGACTGTTGTACTTTTTGTTCATTTATTAACTTGCCTGCATGAAAAACATACGCCTGGGCACATCTTATAAGTGTCTTTGTAGCCACGTAAAAAAGGTGTATAGGGTACGTTATGCGCAGTCACATGTGTTTCTAGTCAGGCAAGTACTCTCTGTGCACGTGTTTATGTACATTTGTATTTGTATGTGTGTGTGTTTGTGCGCATGTGTAAGTATGAGTGTGTGCGTGTTTCCGTATACATATATCAACGTATCAACGCCGTTATGTATAAGCTTGTATACCGCTTGCGTGTGTATCAGTCTTACACCACTCACTGAGAGGCGCGGCCTTCATTTGGTTCTTGAGGGAGTTGACGGCCAGAGTGAGGTTGCTGATCGTGCCCTGCACCTCCTGCAGAAAGACGGTCAGCCTCGAGGTGGTGTCCTCGACATCCTGCAGAAGCTGCCGGTCCTCCGCCGACGTCACTGCAAGGCGAGATCAACGACGTCAGTAATGCAGTGGAAACACGGTCGAGATCAAAAGAAGTTTACATTCCCATGATTTGGTTTACAGGAAATCGAGTCCATTGCTAACAAATTTTTTTAATGGTCGGCATCATAAACACAATTACCATTATCATTATTGCCATTGTTATTATTGTTATTTTTATCATTATTATTATTATCATCATCATCATCATCATCATCACAATTATCATTATTGTTACCATTATTATCCTTATTGTTATTATTATTATCATTATCA